TCTTTTTTTAATATTCCTTCCTTCTTTTTTTATTTTTATTTTTTTTAATTTCAGTGAACATCTACAGAGATTTTGGAATTCCATTAATTCATTGTTGCATATATAACTCCCTTATGCTCTTATTCTGACTAGCAGGAGAGGAATAGAGAATGGCCCATTCTGACCGCGATTTATCTTCTACTTTGTAATAGTAATTTCTTTATATGTCTACAAAGTTTTATCTTTTAATAAAGGCTTTTTGTTGATAGCATCTCTCTTGATCTTTGAGTCTTACAATGTCTATATGGAGTCTACCAGGTGATTATGATTACCTTTTAAAATATATGGGTAAATGGAACTTAGACTTGTGTTTGCCTATAGTTGTATAATTGCAGAATTAATAAGTGCAAAGAATTTGAACACAATGGTTTTTCTTAAATTAGACATTTTGCATACCACCAGACCAAAAGCATGAGGCTTAAACACACGAGCTGATTGATGGGAGAAGGATGGGCAATCTCCTCTTGTGCGATTACTACCTCTGAAAACCTGCTGGAGTGTCAGCTATGAATCGGTTCCTACCTGGGACTACATAATAGCAACAACTCTTTCAGTTGAGAGTTATCGGGTCTTTGAAAATGTAATCATTTCTTGGTTTTATTGGGTATATAAGAATTGCTGAGGGGAGCTCTGTTGGCCTAGTGGCAAGAAGCTGCACTGCATCCTAGAGGCTCACGGTTCAAATCCACCAGATGCTATGCCGGGGAAGGAGGGACCATCTCCTCCTGTACCAGTCAGATCTGATTTGACAGTACACACACACACACACACACACACACACACACACACACACACACACACACATAATAAAATAAAAAGAAGAAAAAAAGAATGGCTGACAGGATGGAATAAACAGATTTTCGGATGACTCAAATCCCATGGGAGGAGATTGTCCACATCTTTTCCTGCAGAGTCACTGGTGGATTTGAACCTATAGAGAAGTACTGCCTTTGGGTTAGCAGGTCAATTTTGTAGCGGTGGCCAAGTGGTAAGAATCTGTACTGCTCTCCTAAAGGCACATAGTTCAAATCCCCAAGCTGTTCCCTGTGAGAAGGATTGAACAGAAGCTAATGAAAACTTTTCAACATGTCATGATTACAGGAAATTGGAGAAAAATTTTTAAGCTATTTATATAAATAAAACTATTAAAATAGAATACAACTTATTTTTATAAATTTTAAGGTAGAGAAGAAGTTTCCTAGTTAGAAAAGATTATCAGTATTGATATGAAGCCTCCATATTTCCAGAGTAAAACTCACATTCAAACACATTGCTGAGTCAGTATCAGCTATTAGCTAACTCTCCGTTGGATTTCCGAGGCTGGAAATCACTCATCTTCCCCCAGATTCACTTGTGACTTGGAACTGTCAGAGAAGACCTCTCATTTCCAGTGCAAGTTTCTATGAACTAGGCCACCAGAGCTCCCTATTTCCAAAATAGTGTAAATAAATAAGAAGATAAAATTTAAAAAGCCTTGGGAAGTTCACTAAAACCAAGATATAAACTAAATTTAAGATGTTGATATTATGGAAATATATGAAAAGAAATGATAATAAGAGAAAATTTTCTTTTTAAAATAAAGAATTTAAATGAAAAATGGACTATGAGTCAAAAATAAATGCAATTGCTTATCCCATATAATAAAGAGCGAGTTACGAATTCAACTACTAATAAAATTTGGAAGCAAGTGTGGCATCCACTTCCTAAACAACATGCCTCTGGAAACTCTGTGACCTTTGAGAAATCATAGTTATTGAAAGGCTTCAGGTCTTTTGTTCATAGGGTCGCTATGAGTCATGCTCAACTCGATGGCAATCAATAGCAACAACAACAACTACAATTAATAAAAAAACCCCTTTTACACATTAAACTGTATTATTACTTTTCATCTCATCAAATAGCAAGATTCATTTTGGTATGGATGTGAAAAAAGAGAAAGCTTCCTATTAGTGTTAGTGGGAGTAGATACAGGAACAAACTTTCTGGGGTTATTGTGGGTAAGTATGTCAAAACGTAAATATTTTGAGCCAGAAATTTTAGAAAAGCATACTAAGGAGTTAATAAATTACGTTCTTTGTCCTAATGGGTAAGATGTCATGCTGCCAACCCAAAGGTAGGAAGTTTGCCTCCATCAACGGTCCATGGGAGAAAGATGGCAATCTCCTGGTATGCGATTTATATCCCCTGAAAACCTGCTGGAGGGTCCGCTATGAGTTCTGATTCTATAGTAACACATTTTCTTCTTCTTATAATCTCATGAATACGAGCCCTATGTTATGCCTCATGAAATTGTCTTCATTTTTCTGGCCAATAGCCAACAAGGTTTTAGACTACAAGACACAATTTCAGGTCAATCAATAAGAAAAAAAAATGCATGTGTCTGTTTATAAGTTGAAGTTATTTTCCATAGTAATATGCGCTCTGGTAGCCTAGGGGCAAGAAGCTGCACTATAATTCTGAAGGCGTGTGGCTTGAGACCTGAGCCATTAACAGTCTCTGGAAACCTCCAAGAGGATCAGTTATGGGTCAGTTCTGACTCTACAACACACAACAATTTTGTGCCTTATGTAATTGTATTCATTTTCTGGCACAATTTTTTTCTAATAACATTTATTGATTTAGTATGGAGGTATGTGAAGAAGATAGGTCTAAGTATCATTTTGGTTTCTATGGTTCCAGGAAGCCTTGGCTGAAACATCTGGTAGAGCCTGGGAAGGGCCAAGCCACATCCTTGGCAGCTGAGACCCAAAACTCTGTTGATTATTACGGTTGATATCTCTTTAAAATTATTGTCGTTTCACCACATTTTCCGGCCAATCCCCTTAGAAGGTTCTAGACTATAAGAGACAATGTCAGGTCAAGATCAAATAGCAGTCCTTGTATATTGTAATCACAGGGCTGTATACAGAACCTCAAGGTAGCTTACCAAAAAAAGGACGGGCTTTGGAGGCAGATCCAAGAATTTTACCTTTTAACCATGTGATGCTGAGTAAGTTACTCTGTCTGATCCTCGTGAAATAGATGAACTGGAGCATAGACTCCCTTTAAAGGATTCGTATGGGGTTGCTTGCTATAACACGTAGTTACTTGCTTGTTACTACCCGATATGCATCTCATTGCTTCTGGTTCTTTTTTTCTTCTCCCCCCCCCCCTCAGTTTCTCCTTATATTGCTCCTGTTTTTGTTTCTGCCTCTTTTTGAAATGAAAACTCCAGAGGCAGGGACTCTGTTTCGTCATCTCTGAAAGCACAATTTCTGGAACTGTCAGTGACAGGGAGAAGTCATTTAGTAACTTTTTGAATTAATGAATGGACAAATGATTGTGCAGTGTCTGAGGTGTAGAAGCTGCTCAATAAAGGGTTGTTCTTTTGTCTTCCATCTTCAGCTTCTTCTTGGCCCTCACATTCACTTTCTACTGCTAAACAAGTACAGGAATGAATGTATATGAGAAAGCATTGTAAAGTTTTAAGCACACTCTCTCTCTCCTCCTCTCATTTCTTCCCTCCCCTACAATTTCTATTGAGTTAACCCTTTAGGGGGCTTTTCTGAGACTGTAAATTGCACAGAAGAGGAGGATTGCCCATCTTTCTCCCGTGTAGTAGCTGGTGAATTTGAATTGACAAGACATTTGAGTCAGCAGCACAATTTCCTATGAACTATACACCACCACCACTTCCTTCTAAGCACTGTATATCAACAAAGGAATTACTATCATATATAATTGTATTTTTAGCCTAAAAGTTGG